GAGAGAGAGAGAGAGAGAGAGAGAGAGAGAGAGAGAGAGAGAGAGAGAGAGAGAGAGAGAGAGAGAGAGAGAGAGAGAGAGAGAGAGAGAGCAACCACGATGTGCATGACAGACATGCCACACAGGCCTTAAATGCCTAGCCACGGAGGCCCAAATCCATGGAAAACAATGGAGGGTGCGGCAGAAAGCTGGGACCGTGGACAACCCCGGTAGGGGCATACTGGAAATTTGGTACCGGTACCAGTGTGGACATACTGGAAAGTTGGTACCAGTACTGGTAGGGCCATATTGAACATATTTAAAGACGAAACGACACCAGGGGTTTTTCCGAAGAGGGGCGTGACAGGGTAAGTCGGCAGTGAGAGGGGCATACTGCAAATAAATGGAAGTCGGAGGGATGGAGGTCGGAGGGGCATTTCTAAATTTTCCCAAGGAAAACAGTTCAGTTCAGGAAGGCTGCATAGTATTACACTATCATGCATAGTAATTAAACCACCTGTACTTGGCCTAGACGCTGGCCGCAGGCCCTTATCGTATAAGCGCCACAACTTTCGAGCCTCGGGTACCGGCGCAAAATGGCTAGAGGCACCAGCCAAAGGGAAGTTGTGCTGGTTCATTATTCTTAAGCGCGCAGCACATCTCCAGAATTGCAGAAAATTGCCTCAGAAGTACTGGTACTGGTGCTTTTTTTTTTTTTTTTTTTATGAGAACAACCCGGGCTAATGCTAGGGGTGCTGATAGGAGCAGGCACCACTAGCACTCCCGGGGAGGTGGTTTAATACTGATTATTAGTATTTGTTGATTGTGCTGGTGATTCCTATACAAAGGGCGTCGTTCGACACTCCTCGGGGACGTGATTCCAAGGATTTCGTCTTCGTTCCCCCGGTCCTCGGAGATGAAATCGGAAATGAAAATGTGAAAACACTGCGAGGACAAGTCCTTGGGCTCCGAGGATTTCCCAGCCAAATCGTCCTCGGCTCCAAACGACCTCCCGAGGTCCTTTGGGGCCCGAGGATCCTTGTTTCACGGAGAGGAGAGGGCATGCACGTAGCAAGACGTTACAACCGAGAATTCGGATCATGGCGGCACCCTATTGGCTGAAAGCCTGAAGCACAACTTTTTTTTTTTTTTTTTTCCTTTTTTTTTTCTGACATTGCTCCGAGGATGAGTCCTAAAACTGATGTTCCGAGGATGAGTGTAACGAAGACGACAAAAACCTTAAACTCTTCCAAGGATTCATCCTCGGAGCCCGAGGATGCCCCGAGGAGTGTCTAATGACACCCCAACTTACAAGGAAAGACCAAGCCGCAGGAAGCTTTTCCAGGTTTCCTCACTTTTTCCAAAACAATTGGCTTAGACATTAGAAGTCTTGTGCTCTTACCAGCATCACTAACACTGGGAGGGGCAAATTTCTCAAAAAAAAAAAAAAAAAAAAAAAAAAAAAAAGAAGTCTTCCTGTAGCTGGTAGCCAACTTTGCAGCACACCATGATCTGCACGGTGAATGGAAAAACAGTGCAGTATGACAAATTGACAATCTTTCTTTTTTCATTTGTTCATGTCAGAGCGGCGACATATATTCATAATTTCATATCCATTTTTGTCGATCAGAGGTGCAGTGCGCTGCGTGCAGTATGATGAGCAAATGTTCTGTCTGCGCTGTGCTGCACTGCGCCCAGTTCAGTGTGATGAGACGTGCATCTGTAACTCTGAGCCACATTGGTCCACACTAAAGGCTTCTTCTTAGGGCATGCTCACACTAGGGGCTTCTTTGGCAAAATAGCAAAATTTGCTACTGTTCCCATCTTGGTCAATTTCGAAGTGCAAAACCACCAGAAACTTGGAGAAAGTACAATGTCGTCCAATTGCAAATAGAAATCAATGAACTTGAGAGGAGAGAGAGGGAAAGAAGAAGAAGAAGAAGAAGAAGATGTACACCCGCAAAGGCCAATGATAATTCCCCCTTCTCCTTGCCAACCAAACTACTCCTTTCTCCTCCCCTCTTATTCAAACAATAAATAATAATAATAATGACGAATGGCAGAACCAGACCCACTTTTAGAACTACAACACCTCAAAATCAAGCCCAGTCATGTCTGGTCGGATACGGACATCATTACTGCCCTGTGCTCCATAATCGGGAAAAATGTTATCAACGAAGGGGTGGCATGGGATCATTACTCGTGGCACTACCTGTAGGACTAGCAAAGACGGAACAGCGCCGATGCAAGCGAAATGGATTGGGTTGAAGCAGTATATGGTCACAATAAGGCATGGCGCAAGACCATCCGTAACGCAGATTTAGATCTCAGGTCCATCAATGTCAATGGTCTGGCCACGCTCTGCCCGACAAGGCCCAGGCCACACGGGATCTTCTCCGGGGTGTGGAAGGACGAAGCTGGCCGGATGTGGTTTGCGTCCAGGAAACACATTTAACAGACTCCCCCGTCCACAACAGGGCACACAAGACGGTCTGGCCATACCAGGCCTACAGGGCACATGCACCACGGCCAGCAAGTGCGGGGACAACGATATGGGTCCCCCTGAACTCCCGCCTTGACGTGTTATACTGGGAAAGAGACATGGAGGGTCATTGGGTCTCTGTACTTGCGACGCTGGAACTAGAGGTTATCTGAATCTTCTGAATCTACGCCCCGAATGCTGCAACAGAGCATGACAAATTCTTCCGAAAAATTCAACCCAAAATGCCACAAGGCATCCCCATCGTTTTCGCAGGAGATTTTAACGCAGCCCCCGATCGGTGGCTAGATCGCTGGCATGACCTCCCTTCCACCATGCATCAGGCGGCAGAAGATGAGGGCATGCTCAACCGATTGTGTAGCTCTCTTTCCCTCTTTAACACATTTTGCCGCTCCTTCCCTACAGAGCGGACTTTCACATACATCCGCAACAACGACCCGACTAGACTCTCCAAGTCAAGGATCAATCTGATTCTTATTTCGGAGGACCTAGCGGGCAATCTAACACTTGCAGCAATTCTCCCCTCTAGCCCTTATCCTGGACTGGACCACAAGATGTGCATGATGGCGTTAACCTTTCGAAAGAGGTCAGACCAAGGCCCGGGTTTCTACAAACTGAACACCTCTTTGCTTCGCCTCAAATCGTTTCAGCAATACTTGACCCAGGTTTGGGCATACTGGAAGGAACGTCACCTAGAAGTAGGCTCCTCCCTGACATGGTTCAATAACGGTTTGTTTGTTTTTTGGCCAAAAAATGCAACGAGTTCTTTAAGCATTTAGCCCAACGATGAAACCAGCACAAAAAAAACCTGCGAAACCAACTCCAAGAGCTAAAACAACAGGCAATACCACATAACCCAGATCATCACGTGCAGACCGTTCAGGCAGTGAAAGCCCAATTACTCCAACAAGCTCAATATCGATGGCAAGGTGTTCAAATTCGCGGCAAACTTTCACAATATAAAACTGAAGGATCAATGGACACAAAATTTTTCGGCCTGGCCCGGGCCAAAGCTAAACGCACTGTTGTGGAGACACTATATGGACCCGATGGGTCCGAAACCCACCCTATCACCACAACTGCAGGTTGTGTCAAAATTGCTCGGGACTTTTTTAAGGACCTCTTTGCAACCCATATCCCTCCCACCGATGAAGAGACCTGCCGGAAACAGATAAGAGGATTTCCTGCAGCCTATTGACAAGTCCCTCTCTCTCGAACAAAAGGAGCGGCTCGAGGCTCCCCTGACCAAGGATGAAATATGGACAGCCCTCCTGCAGATGGACGAGGAAAACACTCCCGGGTTGGATAGCTTACCGAAGGAATTTTGGGAGTCAATGTGGGAGTGTATGAGTCAATCTGGGCGTGTATGAGCTTTGACCTCATGGAATATTATAATGAAGTTTGGTGCACACGG